TGATTGAAAGAATTACGCCATTCATATCATTTAACAATTATGAAAGATTGTTTTTCGTTTCTTAATAAATCATGATACCATGAATAAATCATGGTAAATTTCAACGAAAATGAAAATAATTATTTGATACATTTTTGATTTAAAATTTAGTTCCAATATGGTTATGATTAAAAATTTAAATTTGGTGCAATTAAAAATAAACAAGAAAGAAAAGTTTTATATCAAGTAAAAGAAATGATGTTAGTGGAAGATTATTTAACAGAAAAAAACAAAGTAATTAAAATACATTTTAAATTTCATATGACAATTTGATAATTTCATTTTTCTTTTTTTGTCTTACATTCAAATTTATCAATTAGCTTTACTATCAATTTAAATTTATCAATTAGCTTTACTATCAATTCAAATTTATCGATTAGCTTAATTATCAATTCAAATTTATCTTAACTATTAATTCAAATTTATCAATTAGCTTTACTATCAATTCAAATTTATCGATTATCTTAATTATCAATTTAAATTTATCTTAACTATTAATTCAAATTTATCGACTAGCTTAACTATCAATTCAAATTTATCGATTAGCTTAATTATCAATTCAAATTTATCGATTATCTTAACTATCAATTTAAATTTATCTTAACTATTAATTCATATTTATCGATTAGCTTGATTATCAGATAATCTTCAAATTTCAAAACTGAAATACAATTGATAATTATGAAAAATTTTTATGCAATAAAAATGTTTATTATATTTATGATTAGAAATAATTTTGCCGAATTTTTTTAAATTCAATTTTTTTAAAAAGTCTTTGAAATTCTTCTTTTTTTACTTTTACTATTTTGCATTCCTGTTGGAATTCTGATAAGTCGATACGATGTCAAATTGAAATGAAATAAAATGAAATGAAATGAAATGGAATGGAATGGAATGGAATGGAATGAAATGGATTGGAATGAAATGAAATGGAATGGAATGATAAAATAAAGTGAAATGAAGTACAATGATCAATAATATTTATCTTTAAACAATCAATTCAACATTTTTGATTACACTTTCGGCAATTTCAAATGAATTACACATTAACTATCAAATGCATTTTGGCTTTGAAATTTTATAAATCATTTGATAGTTGTGCTAATCGATAAATTTGAAAGCAAATCATATATTTATCATATCTTTTTATTAAATGAAATGGGTATCAATGAAAATTAGCATATCATTCATTTCATTTAATAATAAAATGGTTAACGTATGATTTGCTTTCAAATTTATCGATTAACTTAATGAAAATTAATTTTTACATCAAATGACAAATCATCATTTAAGTAAAAATTTCTTTCTCGTTCTTTTTTTCTTATGTTCAAAAATTCATCAATCCATTTTTACTTAAATTCTTCAATCCATTCTTACTTGAATTCTTCAATCCATTCTTACTTGAATTCTTCAATCCATTCTTACTTAAATTCCTTATCCATTCCTGCCTAAATTCTTCAATCCATTCTTACTTGAATTCTTCATTCCATTCTTACCTAAATTCTTCAATCCATTCTCATTTGAATTCTTCAATCCATTCTTACTTGAATTCTTCAATCCATTCTTAACTTCTTCATCCATTTCTACTCAGTTTTTCAGCCTTCCTAAGCCAATATTGAAATACAAAAATAGGAATAAAATATTATAATTCGAATTATAATCCTTTTCACTTGTCACATTTAAAAAAAAAAACATATTTTAAAATCAAATGAATGAGCCAAAGCTATAAGATACCCAAAGATTTAATTAATTAAACAATGATTTTTGAGTAATTTAAAATCCTAAAAAATGTTATTCAACTTAATACATTACATAAATCGTTCTTTTTTTTCCAGCAATACAATATTCCATTCAAACTACTAATAATTATTGTTAATTAGTAAACATCTATTAATAATTATTGTTAATTAGTAGACATTTTTGTATAAACTTTTGCAATTTAATTTCTTATCAAACTTTTTTTCATCACTTCAAATTTCTTATCAAACTTTTTTTCTTCACTTTTAATTTCTTATCAAACTTGCTTTTTTCCAATTCTAAAATTCAATTCACATTTCCATACTTGCTATTACTTAATTCCCACAAGTTTAGAGCATTTAAATTGATGTAAATCTTCGAAGTATCATTTTTCAACATAGTCGCAAATTTTGATTTTAGTTGTAAAATTATTTTTCACACAGAAAATGTGTGGGCTTGCTTTTTCATCATTTCATCTTTCTGCTAAAATTTTTATTGATAGAAGAGAAGACTTCGTTTTCAATTAATAAACGAAGACTATTTATAAATTTCGAAAATGTAGGAAGAGATGAAATTGAAATGGATTCCGTTTGTTTTGCACTTTCCGTATCTTCTTTTTCCTCCCAGAATAATTCAGGATTTTATGTGTATATGTATCAAATTGAATTAATATTTTATTACTCCGTTTCTTTTATCAAATATTATCTTGTTATTATTTCTTTTTTTTCCCAATCATTATCATAATCTTAATTGTATAAATATTATATTAATTACAATTTCAAATCTTACCATGTTTATTATCATCTTAATCTTAATTTCGCCATTATTATCAGTTTAATCTCATTCTTAATGTTGTTATATCATTCTTAATTTTGATAACTATCAATATCAACATGTCATTCGTAATTTTATTGCAATTATTAATTAATCACTTCAATTTCACTCCATTTTATGATTATTTATCATCTTATCAACATTTCAATTTTAATCTTAATTTTGTCATTATCATAGTTATGCTCGCTTTTGATCTTATCATCAATCATTATTAAAGCATCCGCATTTACACTTTTATCATTGCTATCGTTATCATCATCATCATCATCTCATTTTCATCATAATCATTGCTATCATCATCATCAACACTATAATCATTTTATTTTCATCATTATCATTGCTATCATCATCATCATCAACACCATAATCATTTTATTTTCATCATTATCATTGCTATCATCATCATCATCACCATAATCATCATCGCATTTTCATCATTATCATTGCTATCATCATCATCATCACCATCATCTCATTTTCATCATTATCATTGCTATCGTCATCATCATCATCTCATTTTCACCATTATCATTGCTATCATCATCATTCATCATCATCTCATGTTTACTATTATCATTATCACTCTTATCATTCTAATTCTACCATCATTATCAGCACACTAATATTATTCGTTTTTCTAATTAGTCCAAATCAAAATATGCAATACAGATAGATTGAAATAATAAAGACGAAATTAACGAATTCGACATGAGAACGAATGAAATGAAAAATTTGGAAGAAAAATTTTACAGGAAAAAAATGAGCACCTTCTTTCCTCTCATCATTTCATCCTTCCTTTTAATGTTCCTCCTCCTTCCTCCTCTCTTCATTTTCCTTTCTTCCTCCCTTCCTTCCTCATTCCTCCTTCTTTCCTCTCTTCATTCTCCTTTCTCCTCTCCTTATTCTTTAATGTCACTATTTTTTTTCTCTCCATTAGCCTTTTCATCAAAACGATATGCAACGATGCCACTTATCCGATCGTAACGGTCAAGATCGGTACCACAAATGTCATCTCATCTATTCGACATATATCCGATATGTATTTCAAACAACTGTTCCCTTTCAATCTTCCATAAATTCATCTTATCCTTCACATCCTATTGTCTCTATTTATTCATATGTATATATATATAATCTCGTATATATATAATCTCTTCAAAATTGAGCCTAAAAAAGATTTCTTAAATAAATGGACTGATTGATTTATTGATTAATTGATTGATTGAATAGACTGATCAAATGTTTTTGTATTCATTTTGTTTCCGGTAAAGATCGAAACATAAATTGATTATATATAAAATGTAAACAATAAATATATATACACATACACACATACATCCACATACATCCATATACATGTAGTTTAAAATATGTGAAACAATTGAAAGAATATGTCTGTCTGTGTATGTGTATATGTATGTGTGCGTTTGTGCATGTGTGAAAAATTGCGTTATCAAATGATAGTTAAAAAAATTTTACATTTTTCGTATTACATGCATATATATGTCTGTGTGTATGTGCATATGTATATGAATGTGTGTGTGTGTATGTGCATGTATATGAGTTTATGTGTGTGTATGTGAGGTAAACATTGTTATAAATAAAATGGTAGTGAAAATTTGAAAGGACAAAATTTTGTATTACATATATATGTCTGTACATGTATGTGTGTATAGTGAAGTGATCATTTGTCGCTTATATGTATATATGTACGTATGTGTAGTGTATGTGTGTATGTGTATGTATTGTACGTGTGCATTGTATGTGTGTATGCGTGTGTGTGTATTGAACAGTGATCATTTGTCGCTTCTGTATATATATGCGTATATATGTATGTGTGTATGTATGTATGTGTGTAGTGAATAGTGATTATTTGTCGTATCATGTGTATGTGTATGTATGTGTGTATGTGTGTAGTAGATAGTGTTCATTTATCGTCGTCGGTTCGTTGATGATCATCATTACGATGTGGATGTGTTAGATGTAAAAGTTTAGGATGAGCTTGGTGTCAGTTAGTTGAAATGCTATTTCTGAAGAATGAATATCTCGCACTTCTCATTTCTTTTTCCTCCCACTTTTGGTTCAAAATGTATTTATTACTACAACAGTTATCATCAATGATTCTTTCCTCACCTCTTTCAGCTATTTTACAATGAATTAAATAAATATTCTATTCTTATTCTATTCCCAAAAATTCTATTCTATTCTCATCTCCCTAATAATTCTAATTAATTCCCTCATTTTATCTTTCGATTCAAATAATATTATCTTATCAACTAAACATATAAAATATTGTTGTTGGTGATATTATTGTTGTTGTTCTCGTTGGTCTTATTGTTGATGTTGCTGTTCTCGTTGGTCTTACTGTAATGTTGTTGTTCTCGTTGGTCTTATTGCTGTTGCTGTTGTGGTATAATTGTTGTCGTTCTCGTTGGTTTTATTGTTGTTGTTGTTGTTGCTGATATTATTGTTGTTGGTTTTATTGTTGTCGTTGTTGTTGTTGTTGCTGATATTATTGTTGTTGTTCTCGTTGGTCTTATTGTTGTTGTTGTTGTTGGTATAATTGTTGTTGTTCTCGTTGGTTTTATTGTTGTCGTTGTTGTTCTTGTTGCTGATATTATTGTTATTGTTCTCATTGGTCTTATTGTTGTTGTTGTTGTTGTTGTTGGTTTTAATGTTGTTGTTGTTGTTGTTGTTGGTTTTAATGTTGTTGTTCGTTGGTGTTATTGTTGTTGTTGTTCTCGTTGGTCTTATTGTTGTTGTTGTTCTCGTTGGTCTTATTGCTGTTGTTGTTATGGTATAATTGTTGTTGTTCTCGTTGGTTTTATTGTTGTCGTTGTTGTTCTTGTTGCTGATATTATTGTTGTTGTTCTCGTTGGTCTTATTGTTGTTGTTGTTCTCATTGGTCTTATTGTTGTTGTTGTTGTTGTTGTTGGTGGTGATAGTGGTTGGTATTATTACTGTTGTTATAGTATTTATCCTAATATCCTGTTATTTCATGTATACTTGAAAACAATAAGAAATTTTTATAACAATTCAAAGAATAATGGGATAAAAACTTACCTTACCTTTTCATTTTCCTTTCTTAATTATTATCGTTCTCATCATCCTCTCTACTTCCTCACTTCCAAACAAATATATTAATTTTTGAAAAAATTTTTAAATGCAAAATAAATTATTATTTTAGGTTCTAAAATTAAATTATTAAAGTTATATTAAAAATTAAAAAAAATAGCAAAAAAAAATTAATTCAGAAGCGTGCGTAATTATTAATAACTTTGATAATTCGTAATTTTAGAACTGAAAATCAGATATTATTAAATTTCGACAATAAATCCAAATAATGTATAAATATTAAATTTCTTTCGAAGATGCCGGGATTATTCTCATCTTGGAAACCACGTTTTCGAACACGTAAAACATCAGATTCAGAACGTTCTTCAAATTCTTCATCAATTCCACCATTTTTACATTCTCTTTCATCAACATCATCTACTTCACCGTTATCTAAACGTTTAAACAAACGTATGGTACATTTTCATGAAAATGGTAATTATTCTTCTTTCATTTTTCATTTTACATTTAAACATTTATTTATTAAATTTTTATTGAAATGATTTATGATCTTTAAACAATTAAATAATTTAAATAATAATTTAAATGAATAATTCATTTGCTTAAGATAAACATTTCATCATTGAATTCATTAATTTCATTATCATTTTGATAAAAATATGAATTAAATGAAATGATTCATTCTTTTTTGATGAAGCATTTGATAAGAGAGAGAGAGAGAGAGAGAGAGAGATAAAAAAGTTGAAAATTTATCACTTACACTTGCATTTTCCACGTATGTTTACGTACGTTTACGTTAACGTGGAAGGGAATGGAAATGCAACTAAACAATTCAACGTGATTTTATAAGAATTAATTTGCATGCTTATTATATATGAATATTAGTGCTTTTTAATGCAATAACATAATCGAAAGTAGCTGTCCAAATTTAACCTAAATTTAACACCATTTTTTATAATCATTTAATTAAATTTCATTTTTCGTATCCTTTAATTAAATTAATTAATTATTCAATCAATTTATTTCTTTCTCATCTGTGTTTATATACATTTTTCATTCTTACATTCCTTATGAATTCATGAAATTTTACAAATTGCAATTTTAGAATTATAATTTCTAATATTATTACTAAGAGATAATTAAGAACTATTGAATTGAATTTGTTTTGAATAAAGAATAAAAACAAAATGAAATCATTAAATAACCTTTTTTTAATTCCGTCTTTTTTGTAATTTTGTCAATTTCAAATATTACCGTGGATTAATTAACATTCAATTTAATTACCAGGTATTTTGTTTTGTTGCCTCTTTCTATTGCTTTTTCCTTTTCTTTTCATATTACATTTAGAAATTTTAATTTTTGTACTTTCCCTTAAATTTTAGAATTTTCTTTTCTATTTATTTAAAAAGAAAATTGTACAGAAATTTGTAAAATTTCAATTCTTATACTTCATAATTAACTAGTATATTTCATAGTACATTTCATAGTTAACAAATATATTTCATAGTATATTTCATAGTTAACTAGTATATTTCATAGTATATTTCATAGTTAACTATTATATTTCATAGTTAACAATCTGAATTATTGAATTTATATCGTTGGATATGTATGTTTTAATTTAGGATATGTATGTTTAATTTAGGACATATATATGTTTTAATTTAGGATATATATGTTTAATTAAGGATATCTATGTTTAATTTTAAATATTTCAGATACGTAATATATTTTAATTTACGTAATATTTTTTAAAAAATTTAAAACAAAGAAAAAAGAAATTTCATTCTTCCACAAATACTAAAACATTATTAAAAACATTCGTTGAGTGCAAATTATTTTCGGTGCTATCGTGAAATTTTTGAAATTTAAAATATTATCATTAATTAACATCAATAAATTACGGAACATTTGATTTATTGCTGCTTTCTTTCGTTGCTTTTTCCTTTTTCTCTCATCGTGAATTTTCGAAATTTATATACTATATAGTTACCAAAAAAAAAAAAACAAATAAATAAATAAAGAAGTAAACAATAAATAAACAAATATCGTAGACAAATGAAAAAAAAAACGATAAACAAAGAAATAAACAAATGAGTGAGGAAATGTTTGAGCAGAGAGATAAACAAAATGAACTATTGATTGAACAATAAAACAAACGCATAAAGCTAGCAAAAAAAATAGATAAATAAGCAAGTAAACAATAAGCAAATAAAAATGATAAATAAATGAATAAGAGATAAACAAATGAAGATGAGAATGAATAGAGAATTAAACATCATCAACTTAACAACAAACAAAATGAATACATAAATAAACAAATGGAACAAAGAAAAAACTTAAGAAATGACTATACAAATGAGAAAAATAAACAAATAAACAAATAAACACATATAGGATGCTAATAAACAAACATACAAGCAAATGAAAAAATTCAATAATAAACAAATTAAATGCAGCAAAAATTTTACAATAGCTATAAAATTATTTGTCATCATTCATTTCGGCATCTCATACATTCTTGTTTTTTTGCTTTTGCAATCATTGTGAATTAATTGCTTCATTGCTGTTTATTTATTTGTTTTTGTCAAGGTTACATAAATTCTTTTGACAACCTTTGATAACCAGGTATGATCCGCTTTTTTTAAATCCCAAATTATGTATGTATCTATTCGAAATTATTCTCTTTCCTTTTTTTCTATTCCTAAAATATAACCTTCAAAAATTTCCATCAATTTTATTTCCTAAAATTTTTGCACAAAAGTATGAAAATTAACAAATTCTATTTCGATTATATCAATTTCAAATTTTCTTTCCTATTATATCTATTTGAAATTTAAGCTATAATATTGACGAAATAATTTATGAATAAAATTTAATTATATTATTTTAAATAAAATAAGTGTAAATTATCTTGGATATATTTGATAATAATAACTGTAATGTTAATTATAATAATAGTTATTATTAGCGATAAATTGAATTAATTATAATAATAATAGTAATATTATAAATTGAATTGATTATTATAATAGTAATAGTAATATTATTATCATTATTATTATTATTATTATTACAGTAATATTATTATCATTATTATTATTATTATTATTATTATTATTAATTTAAATTATTGCTATAGTGATGACGAATTTTTAATTTATCACGATAAATTGAATTCGAATAAATTTTTAGATTTTCATTTGTTTTGTGAGACGATGCATAAGCTAAAATATATTTGTTAATAGCGTTTTATGACTGCTAGTAAATATTAACTATAATTTTGATTGTAACAGTAATATTACTATTACTATTGATAATTTAATTTATCGCTATAGTGATAACGAATTTTTAATTTATCATGATAATTTGAATTCGAATAAATTTTTAGAACGATCATAAGCTTAAATATATTTGTTAATAGCGTTTTATGAATACGGATAAATATTAATATCGCTGCTGACAATAATAACTATAATGTTGATTATAACAGTATTATTACTATTACTATTATTAATTCAATTTTTCGCTATAATAATAACGAATTTTCACTTTATCACGATAAATTGATTTCGAATAAATTTTTAGATTTTCATTTATTTTATGCAACGATGCATAAAGCTTAAATAATTTGTTAATAGCGTTTTATGACTGCTAATAAATATTAACATCGCTGCTAACAATAACAATAAGTCAAATTCAAATTAAAATTTTAATTTCCAATTTCAGAAAATATTTCAAATTAAAAAATGCGATTAATTTATTTTCGTATTATTTGATAATTGCACCAAAATTTTGCAATAAAACTAATCGATAAAATATTGCTAAATATTTTGTTAAAATATTTTATATTTTATTTAAAACATTACCAATAATTTATTTATTAAATTCCCATTGCATCCAATTTTTCATTAACGCTTTCATTCTTTCAAAATTTTGCGATTTGAAATTTCTTTGAATTTATTCTCAACTTTTGTTTGCTAAATTAATTGCATGCTGTGATATCGAATTATCGAAATTACTTTATCGCTAATGAATATAAGAGAATCTAATTAATTAATCCAAATTGTTGTGATGTCGAGTTATCGGAATTACTTTATCGCTAATGAATATAAGAGAATCTAATTAATTAATCCAATTTGTTGTGATGCCGAATTATCGAAATTACTTTATCGCTAATGAATATAAGAGATTCTAATTAATTTATCCAAATTATTTTATCATTTATTTTGATAATAATTAAAGAATTTAATTAAAATATTAATTAATATAAAATTTTAAAAGATTTTATTATACTAACTTCTTATAGCTTTTAGAAATGCAATGAAATAAACAAAATTAAAATCAAAATTTGATTTATTTTGTTTTTCTCTCAAATTTCAATTTTTCTCATAATGCATAAAATCATTGTTATTGTAGTAGTAATACGGTCTAATAAATGCTACCACAATATAGCAAGGTCAAATAAATATAAAAAGGTCAAATATATACCATAATAGCATGATGAAATAAATTCTTGCAAATAAATTAAATCATCCGTATCAAATAAAATTTACACCTCACAAAAATTTTCATACCATAGCCGAAATTTGTTAATTCTTATAAGTGATAATTGATTAACTTATATTTACGCAATAATTGAAATTGATATTGCAAATGTAGTAAAATTAAATTTAGATTAAAATATAAATCTGCTGAATTGATCTTTCTGTTAATTTATTTTAGCTAACAACAATTAATAGTTGTTATTAATTGTTCTTAGCTAAAATAAATTAAACAAAAAAGTTCAGTTAACTAATTTATATTTTAATCGATAAATAATTAGCCTTCGATAATATGGATAAACTAAGGAAAAGAAATAAAAACAATGTGAATTAATTGAAAATAAATTTTAATAATGATTAATAAATAATATGGAGAAAAATGTGTGATAAAGAGTACTTTTAATTTAGATACTTTTATTAATAATTAATTAAAGACTAAAATAATGAATGATTAAAATAACTAATTAATTAAAGACTAAAATAATGAATAACTAAAATTTGAAATGAAAGGAAATGATATTTATATTTATATGAGAATGATTTTTCAATGTAAAAAAAATGGTAATTTTTGCTAGGAAAAATATTATTAATTAAATATTAATTGGATAAGTTTTTATTAATAATTAATTAATGACTAAAAGAATGAATAACTGAAATAATCAAAAAATTTTTATATATTGATGATATTTAAGTTGCACAATAATAAATCAAATATATATTGATGGTTGGAAGGTGTGTTTGCATTCAAACATACCTTCTTATCATCAATATATATTTTTCTTCTAAATGCAATTTAAGTTATAAAACAATAATAAATCATAATTTTTTATTTTATAGGATTGATAAGTAATCGAGACGGAGGAGCAGTTAATTGGAAATATATTGATGATAAGAAGGTATGTTTGAATTTTATTGAAAGTAGCAGTCTTTCCATTTATTAAAAGAAAATTTTGGGAGGAAGAAAAATGAAAGTAGAAGAATGGATCGATCGATCGTAAAAAATGATTTGAAATTTTTTTCAAATCATTCCAATGATTTGAAAAGAAAAGAGAAAAAATTTTTTAAAATTCTTTTCTTCTATTTTAAACAAATGTATTACAATCGTATGAAATTTTGAAATTTTAAAAATTTAAAATTTAAAAATGACTTTTAAAAAAATAATGGAATTTTTTCATCTTTCTTCTTTTCTTATCGTTTTATTAAGGCACCATTAGCAAGCGGTGAATTAGATGAAACGAAGGATGAAGGGCAAAAAAATGATAAACAACTTTTGAATATATCATTGTCACAACAACAACCGCAACAACAACAACAGCAACAACAACCGCAACAACAACAGCAACAACAACAACAACCGCAACAACAACAGCAACAACAACAACAACCGCAACAACAACAACAGCAGCAGCAGCAACAACAACAGCAACAGCAGCAACAACAACAGCAACAGCAGCAACAACAACAACAACAGCAACAGCAACAGCAACAGCAACAACAACAACAACAACAACAACAACAGCAACAACAAGTGAATGATGATTTGATTGAAACGAAAAGTGATGATGAGATTCATTCGAATGGTAGCCAATCAATTATAAACCGATCATTTGGTAAATAATTTCCATTAAAAATAATATTAATTAAAATGATGCAAAAAATTTCGTGAAAAAATATCCATCACTCTATAAAGTTATGAAGTTATATTATTTCATAAAATTTTTATTAAATATTATAATTTTTTTACTGTGTTATGATTGAATCGCTTTATAGATTTTACATGTCTTTAATTAAGTTAATTAATTTAATTTAATTAATTTTTATATATTTTGTTGAGATTTTTATTCAAAAAAGAAAAAAGCGAAATATGCGGAAATTGAAATAATTTACTATTTCTATTTACCATATTGTCGATGAAAAGAGAATAGTATAAAAGAGGGGAGAAGAAGAAAAAAGGGGAAGCGATTTAAACGATTTGTAAGATAAATAAACAAATCCAAAAATTTGATCACAAATCGATCGCTTGAGAATCGCTTGAATAAAAGGAATGCTTTTTGCTTTTCCTTTTTGAAATACTAGTTTCTGCTAAATTTTTATCAACAAATTATAGGTTTGTAATTTTATTTTTTATTAATTCTAATTATTTGATTTATTCAAATTATAAACTTTATGCTTTAATTGCTTGTTTAATTATAAAATTTTCATTAATTACACTAAAATTTTTTTCAATCAATTATCAAAATATTATATTTCGATCATAATTAAACAGTTACTTATGTAATTGCTTAATCATTACATTTCGCAAATACGTATATATGATCGTAAGGAAAATCATACAATAGGATAAGGTGTATTGTGATCGTAAGAGAGATCATAAGTCAGGTTACGATAAAAAATGAAGTAAGATCATCATCACGGAGGGTCACGTTTTAGAATAAGACGTGACATTATCGTATAATGAAACGAAAAATAGAAATTAATGAAAATTTCTTTTGTTCTTATTTAATTTTTTAATTTCTCTTATAATTTCTTTTATAATTTCTTTTACTTTTATTAGGAATAAGTAATCCTCAGATAAGAAATATTCAATTTTAAATTTCAGTTTAGTATAAAAATTTTATTCATTTATTTCAGGTGTGGTATACCGAATTTTATTCAACTGTTTCAGGTGTGGTATACCTTGAATTAAACGATGAAGTTAAGCGTGCCCTTTTACCACCAACTGTTCATAGCATTGATACTATTCGAGCATTATTTTTGCGATCATTTCCACAACTAACACCACAATATCTTAGCTTATCATATGTAAAAATTTACATTCAAGAACCCTCAAAAGGACAACTTTTCTACGAACTTGATGATCTCAGGCAAATATCATTTACTCAATTATAAATAATAAAATTGAATTTAATTTCTTCGGTAAATATCACATAGCTAATTATAATTGATAATTATATATATAAACATTAGATCTTTTAAATATTTCGTTAATTATTTAATTTCATATTTATATATTTACTTTTTAAGAAAAAAAATTATTAAGTTTTAAAAAAAATTTCACAAAATTTTCATACATTACATATTCTTGACTAATTATTATTTGCCCTAATTACTACCTGTCAATAAATTTAATAGAAATTATAATTAATATAAATTTTATAATTTTTCTTCTATACAAATAAATTAAATGTGAAATTTTATTAATTTCTAATTTCTTCGGTAAAAAATTTCACTTCAAAAAATTTATTAAACGTTTTCTTTGTTAGTTCATTTTTTAACAATTTAAAATTAATAAATATATATAATTAATTATTAATAATAAATATTTAGTTAACCTACTAAAAAGTTATTCAATTAAATGAATGGAAAAAATGATTATTAAGAAGTTAATAATTTGTATTTAATTACTTAATATTTAATTGATTGCTTTTATTGAAATTTGCACGTAATAAAAGGTCAAATATGAAAAGCCTAAAAAAAGAAAAGAAAAAAAATGTAATTTCTAAAATCCTGTTTTAAATTATTTCATTTATAATAACGAAATATTATTATTATTATTATTATTATTATTATTATTATTATTATTATTATTATCATTATTAATTATTAATGTAAACAAAAATGAAATAATATTGCAATTCTGCAAATTTCAATAATTTTTTACAATTTATTTTTAGAATTAAATTTCATTCAAAATTTCATAATTGTTGTAAATTTGTTTATTTCTCATTTCGTTCATTATCGATCCTCTTTTTCCAATAAAATATTGAATGAAATTTGTTTAGTCATAGTAAAATAAATAAATATAAATACATTAATGTTTGCATACTGTCGTAGTGAAACCACACAAATCATTATTCTATCACTATTCATTTTTCCACTTCTTTTTCCTCCTCTCTATACTATTCCAATATTAAATGAAATTGGTGAATTTAATAACTTTAGTTATTTTAAATTGAAATTTATATTAATTAGATTAATTTCTAAAAGTTAAAAAATTTTTTAATTCCATTGTTTTAGTTTGTTTTTCATTGAAATTGAAATTTACAAAATTTTTCTTTAAAATTTGTCAAGTAGGGAAGTGTTTGTTTTTCTTTAAAATTCAAAATTTGATTTCTTTTTTTCACTGCAAACATTCTTTATTGATAGTGTGATAAGTGTGTAATTGATATATTAAATTGAATAATTGAATAACTAAATGAAATACTCAATTTATGATAGTCAATTAATTTTTTAAATGGAAATATTAATTATGCATAATATAAAAAATATTGTATAAATTTTTGCTATAAGATGAATAAAAAATAATTAATTATTTGAAAAAAAATTTAAGAATATAATAATAATAAATATTAATAATAATAATAATAGTAATATTGATAGTATTATTAATAACAATAATAATAATATTAATAATAATAATAATAAATAATAATAATGAATAATTTTGTTGAATGAAAAATGATTGATAATTTTTTAAAGACTTTTATCATTTTTGTATTTGTTTAGAGATATCAAAGATCAAGCAGTATTAAAATTACGTGAACAATCAAATGGATATCAAACGAAGCAATCAAATCGTTTTTTAAATAGTCATTCATCATTGGATTATTTGAGTGAATCGGAAATTGATCTGATGGATTATCGAAATCGTACATCAACGGTACGTCGTTATCGACCAGCAAGTGCTTTAGATAGTCGAATGTTATCTGTTACGGGTACTTCAATCAGGTAATCTTAATTCCTTCATAAAGAATAATTAATAGTAAAAATATATTATTAGAAGTGATAAAAATTGATTTTGTTTGATACTATTGATTGATTGATTTTATTGATTTTAATGTTTGGTGCGTTAGTATATATTTATTAGTTCTAATAAGTTAAGCAGTAATTTTTACTTAAACAATTACAAATTAAATTTAATAATATTTTAATGTTTGATACGTCAGTATATATTTATTAGTTCCAATAAGTTAAGCAGTAATTTTTACTTATATATTTTACTACTAGCAAAGTATATTTCGGTATATTTCAAGTATAATTAATATTTATTAGCTAATTATTTCAATAATGATTTCTAATGAATTTCAAATCATCTGATGCAATATTTGCAAACTTAATAATGTTTCGAAATTTTTTTAAATATTCATCGAAATTTACATACCAGTACTTAAGGATATTTTCCTATTACTTTTTATCATATAATTTATTACGATTTGAATCGTAATATTAAATTAAATCTAAATCATAGTATTGTTGTTATTTGAAATCGAATGCTAAGTTTTTCAATTCGACCTAAATTTTTGTCGATGAAATACCATCTTATTTTAGATCTCCAATATCATCACGTTTTGATCATTATCGTGATCCATATGCCAGTGATACAAGTAGTCAGGAACGTTCTGGATCAGTTACACCAATAATTGATAAAGAAGCAAGGTTAGTTTAATTCAATAATTTAAATTTATTTTATTAAATTTAATTATTGTCGAAAATTTAAGAAAATTAACTTTTTTCATCAAATAACAAATTTCAAAACAATTAATGCAAATATTTCCTTTTTTGTTCGTAAATTTTAATTATATTATTAGAGAAAATAAAATTTAAATTATACTAAATATTGTTATAATACATTATGTAATGAAATTTAAATTTAAAAATAAGTGAAATTTTGATATTTCATGTAATGAAATTTGAATTTGGCAATTGATGAAATTTTAATATTTCACGTAATGAAATTTAGGTAGGCGAATGATATTTCCAAGAAAGCATAAATTTCAAAATGATTTTCATATTGTAAATAGTATTCTTTTTACTTTTCCTTTGATACCAAAATGAATGATAACCTAAAATCTAAATGATATCGTTGTTCAGAATTCGTATGGAAACGATGGAACGTCAATTAGCAGGTTTATCCTCTTTGGTACATTCCGCATTGATAAGTAAAGGAATGAGCGAAACGAGTCAACGAGATATGGAAGAATTACGAAAGCAAATTTTAGCACTTCATCCAGATGGTTTGTAATAATTATTATCATAATTACGATTATCATAATCATTATTTACTAATATTATTTATTACTATTACCATTATTATTATTATTACTATTATTATATTGTTACTATTCTTGTTGTTACTATAATAATAATTATTTCATTATATATTTGAGCACAATATATTTGATATATTTGAGCACAATACAAATATGTTTCATATTTAATAGTTTTAATTTCAATTAATTTTATCTAATTATATGTTTTTATCTATTATTATTTATTACTATTACCATTATTATTATTACTATTATCTTAATTAAGTGTTACTATTCTTGTTGTTACTATAATAATAATTATTTCTTTATCTTTGATATATTTGAACACAATACAAATATATTTCATATTTAATAGTTTTAATTTTAATTAATTTTATTTAATTATATGTTTTTATAAATTTTTCTTTCGCCATTTTGTTTTTATTATTTTCAAAAATTTATTTTAATATATTATTAAATTTATTTCAACATTATTACTCTTATTTTAATTTGACAATTAAAAACAGAAAAATTATAGTAGCATCAATTGCATCAGAAAGCAGTATACAAAGTACCGATCCATCATTTATGGATTCGTTATTTTTGAGCGGTGAAACACAGCAGCAAATTTTAAAATTTAAACGACATATAAATGAAATGAAAAATCAATTGAAGCAAATTCGACGTACAGTACAGGTAATTTTACTTATCATTGGAATTGATGAATATATTAGAAAGAAAATCGCAATCAATAATTCTATTTCTCATTACTACTGCATTTTACTTAAAGCAAATTCGACGTACAGTACAGGTAATTTTACTTATTATTGGAATTGATGAATATATAAAGAAGATAATCACAATCAATAATTCTATTTCTCATTACTACTGCATTTTACTTTTTAAAGATTGTACAACATATTCATTACAATTATTTTTATAATTTGTTACAGATGAATACGCAAGCATCACGTGATATTTTACGTGATGCATTTGATCGAGTTCATCAGTACGTTGCAGATTATTTCGGTACCACGCCATCACATCATTCAACATCAAATGTCAATGATACACTTAAATCGGAACATATTACTCAAATTGCTAATCTTCAAAAATCATTACAGTAACTTTTTTTAATGTTTAAAAAAATCCAAATATATATATATAAATTTATTAACTGAATTTAAATTAATAATAATATAGTAAAATTTCGAGATAGTGAAATAGAAAAGAGAAAAGAAATGAAATATGCAAATTAGTTGAATTTAAATTTATTGGAATTGTTTTTAGAACAGAACTTTTACAGTAATTAATCGTTTTATTAATTATTAAACTAATTTATTAAACTTGGAAGAAAAAATACGATACGATAAAATCATCCTACTGTTATAATTGGATATCATTACATCTATTTAACGTTATGATTAATTATTGCTGTCATCATTATCATCGTATGATAATGTTATCATCATTGATATCGCTGCAGTTGATGAAACGTTTTGATTACATTCAAAATAATTTCATCGAAATATGCAAAACATAGCTTTAATGTGATAAGTGATACAACTGATATATTATATTAGATAAGGCATAATATGAAATTAACATGGCCTTATTGATAATAGTATGAAAAAATTGTTTATTAATAATAATAATTTTAATTACTGCTACTAATAGAACAATATCTAATAATTCTTAATATATATTTAATGCTACCAAAAATTGTAGAATATTTGAAGAAAATGTTGAAGAAGTCAGACATTTAGTATTAAATACAAATCGGAAATTACGTATGAGTGAAGTGGAAGCATTTACTGAAACACTTACAAGAATTGGTCGTACTGCGGCAAAATTGAAAAGTTTGCATATTAATTTGTTTTACAATTTGTTAATTATAAAAATTAATTAATTAATTAATTGCGAATTAAAAAGAAAATTTCGGAAAAATAGTACTTTTTTTTCTAAGAAATACTTTACGAAAATAATACTTTTGATAAAAATAATGATACTTTAATGGAATACTTTTTTCATCTTTATTTTCACATTTAATATCTATAAAAATTAATTAATTAATTGCGGACAAAGAAAAACTTCAAAAGAAATACTTTACTAAAATAATGTTTTAATGGAATATTTTTTCTCCAACTATTTAGCACAATTTCCAACAATACAGTATGAATTACAAAAGGAAATTAAAACAAATATGGAACGAATTGTTTGTGAGGAGAAATTTATCAAAGAAGAAACAGCACAAATTGATCAATGCTTACGACGTTGTAAAACATTAGCAAATATGATGGTAACAATGAAAAAATTAGCAATGGTGCAAGATCCAAGTTTGAATGTATTAAAATTGGAAAAGAATAACAACAACAACAACAACAACAATCGAACATTATTTACACTTAAAGAAAATGAATTTACAACCGGCCCAATGAAATTTATGCAAAAAAGTGATCGATTAAATGGTAGTCGTATAAAAAATGACAATCAACAACAAATATATGATGGAAAAATGAATGAAAAATTATCACCACCATCAATACCACCACCACCTATTTATTATGAAGGTACTTATAACATTTTTCTTTTCTTGTTCTTTGTTTTATCATTTATATAAATTAAAAGAAGGAAGAACTTATCAGAAAAAAAAGAATTGTTGAAAATTTACGACAGTTGAAGGAGGAAAAAATAGGAAGTATTAAATATATTTATTTCATTTTTATTATTCAAATAATTTTTATCATAAATAATTATTCATATATCGATTTTAAAAAAAAAAAAAAAAACTTATCAGAAAACAGAAATTTGTTAAAAATTTATGATAATCGAGAGAGAAAAAGGAAGTATTTAATTATGTGAAAATATTTATTTATTATTTTATTATGAAAAATATTAATTATAATTAAAAGTATTTAATTCTATTTTATTTATGGCAAATAATTTTTATCATAAATAATTATTCAAAAATTTTGCTACTTTACTTTTTTAAGAATTTATAAGTAATGGAAATGTCATTAAGAAATTAAAATAAAAAAAAAAAGTATTACAGGTGTAAAAAAAGGTATTTTATTTCGTTCTACATTGTATCATTAATTTCTTTGCACGATAATTAAATTTTTATTATTTTATTCTTTTAATTATTATAGAGAATTCGTAAATAAAATTAATTATTAAAGTGCTATAATATAATTTAGTATAAAGTAAGTAGTTGAATTATATAGTTTCTTAATTTAATTATTTATTAATTAGAAATAATTTGTTAACATTTAATTTAGGTCCTTCAATATGTAACAACTCTAAAAGAAGTCCAGATGCAAATGTTTTGGATACAATCTTAGATGAGCTTACAAATACGGTACAACGTGATATGCGTTCGAAATCAAAATCACCAAATTCAGCATTATCATTTCCCATTGTACGAAATGGTCCACCAAAACCGCCGGAACGTCATTCAACAACTGATATTCGAAATCGTTTTACACCATTTGAAATCCAAGAAGTGCAACGTCGAGCAATTGAAAGTGTTTCACCAATTCCAGGCTAGTATTGGTAAAAAGAATATTTTCAAATTATTTTATATACTCTAGCTTAATTACTAGTAAGTCTAGACTTGTTAGGGAAGTAAATCTGAGCTGGTTAGTAGTAAATATTTTTTCTGCCATAACATATCTGGATAGTTTTAGTCTATAATAATAATATAATATTCGAATATTGCATTAATCAATTATTATTCATTAATCATTATTAATCTTATCATGCGTATATCATTTTAGATTAAACATTACTAATCTTATCATGTATATATCATTTCAAATCAATCATTATTAACCTTATCAATATATATCATTTCAAATTAATCATTATTAATCTTATCATGCATACATCATTTCAAATTATTCATTATTAACCATATCATGCATATATCATTTCAAATTAATCATTATTAATCTTATCATGCATATATCGTTTCAAATTAATCATTGTTAATCTTATCATGTAATCTTATCATTTCAAAAATTTTCAAAATTTTTACTCAAAAAATTTTTACACAATATAAATTAGTAAATGGAATAATTTCTTATGAAATTAATTTAAAATTATAATTTCTATTAAATTTGCAAAATAAAAAAAAGCGAAGTTTAATATTTTGATAAATGATAAGGCGAAAAATTCATTTACATATTTTTCTTTTTGTTTTTAAGAACAAATACTCTTTTCATCCTCTCTCTCTCTCTCCCTCTTTCTCTTTTCTTCTGTTAAACTTATTAATTCATTATCTTTTTTTTTTTAAATTTGTTTTTAGTTAAAGTTAAATGGAAATGATTAATATGAAAAATAGCTTTGATCATTTCCACTTCTCCTTCTTCTATTTAACTAATTAATTATTATTTGTTTTCTTTTGTTTTGTTTTGTTTTTTTTTTGGTAAAAAGAAAATGATTGATACGAAAAATAGCTTTGATCATTTCCGCTTTTCTCCTTTTGTTAAAACCAATTAATTATTATTTTAAGAAATTTTCTTTCATTCGTTTGTTTTCCTTTCTTTTTTATTGTTTTAAGTAATGATTGAGAGGAAATGATTCATATGAAAATAGCATTTGATAATTTCGCTTTTTTCAAAGTAATAGTTGAAATGATTTGTTTGTTGGATTTCAATGAGCCTAAAATTAGCTAACAGATGCCATTCATTTCATTTCAGCCGGTTGATAAATAATGAACATACGGTTTGAAAATATTTGTGTAAATTGTTTGGTTCATTTTATTTAATGCTAAAAATAAAAATTGCTTTTCCCTTTTAAATTTATTATTATTATTTTTAATATTATTATTATTATTGTTATTATTATTATTATTATTATTAATATTGTTATTATTATTATTTTAGGTAATGATTAAATTTAATAGTGAAATTTTAATTCTAATATCATACTATGATCGTTTAATCGTTTTGTAATCATAATATTATTATAATATTATACTTTAAATCATAATATCATATTTTAATTATAATGTCGCATTTTAATCATAATAACAGATTTTAATTATAATAATATATTTTAATCAGAATATGGCAATTTAATCATAATATCATATTTTAATTATAATATCATATTTTAATCATATTTTAAATCAATTAGTTACTACATAGATAATTTGCGCATAATAATTTTCTTTTCTTTCAGTTTACAATCATTAAATTGAATACTGAATTATTGTACGCGAAAGATTAAAGGAACCTAATTAATTAATTAATTATTGCATAAATAATTACATAAACAACAAATTTAGCATATTAAATTAATTTATTAATTTATTTCGTTAAAAATTGATTTGCATTGATTTGTTTTATAATAAAAAAAGAAATAAAAATTGGCGATAATTACGATAATTTCTAATTGCAAATTTAAATTCTTGATTTTCGATATTAATTAATATTTCAAATTTATGATAAGAAATAGCGAATAGACATGTATTAACTAATTATTTAAATGAAGTGAAAAAATGTGCACTAAAGTAAAGAATATCAAATGTGAATGATATTTTATCAGTTAGTGATAATTTTATAAATTAGAAAATAGAACATAATTAAGCTCATTAATATCAATATGATGGTAATATAATAATCTTATAAATTATAAATAAAATACGATTGACAAAGTAATGCAATATTTCTTTTTTATAATATAATAATAAAATATAATTTATTGATATATTGATATACATAAATTAATTAATCAATAGATAAATTGATATATATATATCTAAATTAATTAATTAATATTGATGTAATAATTATTTTTTAAATATTAATGAATTTTATTCTATATTAATGAATTTTATAATTTTATTCTATATTTAGAATTTTATTCTATATTTTCTTTATAGCATATTTTTCAGGGAGATATTTAAAATTTCAGGAATTTAATTAATCGATATTTTCAGTACTATTAATCAGTATTTTATTCTTTCAGTAAATCGATCAACAGAATTAGAAGGACGTCAAGAAAAATTAATTCAAAAACAACGCCAATTACATAGTCAATTTGAACAGCTTCAACATTTATGTGCTCCATCCAATATTATTTAATATGCAAATTAATTTCTTATCAGTTCTTTCTTTTATCTTTTTCTGCCATTTTAAAATTGTTATCAAAATTTTCTGCAAAAGAAAGTCTTTGTTTTAAAATTATGAAAATTCGCAAAGTGAAAAATTATTTAAAATTTATGCAAAACAAAAAGTGTAAGGAAAGAAAAGACAAAAAAAGACATAATGACATATTCTTAATTATTTAATTATGAATGAATTAAAATTTTAATTTTTTCTTCAGAGGGAAAAAGATTATTTATTTTAGTTTCGTTGCTTACAGATTGTTTAAATTTTAAACATTAATAAATTAATGTTGTATAAAATGATGAATGTGTATCATATGCTGAAAACATTCATCAATAAAAATTCGACCGATACATTCATTAATAATAATTTTAACTAATTGTTAAATTATAAAATTAAACTGTATGATAGTTTAATTTATATCATTGATATTTTTGATAATTTATATCACTAAAATTACATCATTGATAATTTATATCATTAAAAAAAAATTCACAATTCATGTTGTAATCAGGAAATATGCTGTATAAAATAATTGGATAAATAGATATGCTTATTATACTTGAATATTGTCATCCAATTTTTAGTATTTCAAATTTAAATTTAAATGAAACGAAAAGAACTNAAAATTCACAATTCATGTTGTAATCAGGAAATATGCTGTATAAAATAATTGGATAAATAGATATGCTTATTATACTTGAATATTGTCATCCAATTTTTAGTATTTCAAATTTAAATTTAAATGAAACGAAAAGAACTTAATTAATTATTTTACTAATTATTTAATTGTTTTATTTTATTGCTTAATATATAATAACACTTTTCCCTTAAAATTTTATTATAAACAAAAAAATAAGGTTATTAAGGCTATTTCTCTGCTAAGGCTATTTTAAGGTTATTTCCTTAAAATAGCCTTAAAGGCTATTTCTCTCAGATAATCCTAGTCATATTTAAATATTGTCATTCGATTTTTAGCAATATCAAATTTAAATTTAAATGAAACGAAAAAAAACTTGCTTAATTAATTACTAATTATTTTATTTCATGCTTAATCTTCTCTTGAAATTTTAATATAAACAAACGATGTTACGACAATTTCTCTCAAAATAATCCTAGTCATTTTTCATTTATTCTGTTTCCTTTTTTCCTGTTGTATTGTTTTTTGAATGATTTTATTAATTTTCGATTTTTCAACAACGCTTTAATGATATCTCAACTGATAAGTAGTTCCTTCTTTATGCATTTGAATTGATAATATTAATTAATAAAATTTTTTTCGATGATAAATACAAAAATGGTATTGCTCACTTTTTTGTTGAATTGTTTTAACAAAAATTGATCAAAAGATTTGAATGGAAATTATCGATTAATTAATTTTTAGAAATCAATACTATACATATGAAATATATCATACTCTTGTTAATGTACGAATTTCGGGAAAGTCTGTCATATTAGCTCATAATCATTCAATGATTATTTTCTTCGTATTATTGATTATGCAATCATTTTCTTTCTAGCAACACTGAAATATTTGATCAATTTTTAGAAATTCTCGACTAAGGAATAAAGCATAATAGCAATAATGATGATTGTAATGATAGCAATTAATTGTTATTGTAATGACAATAATAAACTTTAGCATTTTTCCTGTCACAATCTTCGCTGCATAATTAAATGGATTTCGAAAATTTCATTCCAGTGGGGTCAATAGAGGATAGAAATTAGGTCAAATAGTGCTTATTTTATTTTTCATCAAGTGTGAAAGATTACAATCTTTCGCTAACCTTTTATTATTTAAATATGACAAAGTTAACGAAATTTCCAAAAAAATTTCCAAACGCAAATACACATAATCTTAAAGCAACTGCATCCGAAATACAGGACGCTTCAAAAAACTTGTTTTAGGTGTTTTACAGAAATCACAGAGGACAACAAAATTCCGGTGTACCGTCAATACCAACTTACTGAAGTATACTAGGAATGAAACAATCTTATTATTTACAACAAAAAAAAAAAAGAAAGATATCATTACGCAATCTTTCGAGCTAGTTATCATACCAATGCATATGCTGGTAACGGAAATAAAGGGGTTTAGGTGAATTAAAATGTTTATAAAGGCTTCGATTTATGCTAATAAAAGTTNAAAAAAAAAAAAGAAAGATATCATTACGCAATCTTTCGAGCTAGTTATCATACCAATGCATATGCTGGTAACGGAAATAAAGGGGTTTAGGTGAATTAAAATGTTTATAAAGGCTTCGATTTATGCTAATAAAAGTTCAATTAGCTAATGGCAATTTGAAAGAAATAATTTTCGGCGAAATATAAAACTTCGACAATAATATCAAAACGAAATATTTCAATATTTCAGAATATTTGTTGCTCTATTCTTGTCTAACCTATAAAATTCGTCCATGTTGCATTCATCATGCCCATATTACTTTATCTATTTGGATGCGATAATATGGACATGGATTAATGTATTTCTTTAAAATTTCATTTCAAAAATCACTTCTTTTTCCTGGCTTCAATTTGTGACTGTACAGCTTGAGCAGATAAGTCATCCATTTGTTTTAGCCAATTCTCTAAATCATCCAGCTGTCGTTGCATTTGTTTCTTCTTAAATACTGTGTAATAGTTCACACCCATAAATGTGAACTTTATCTGAAAAAGCAAAAATGCATTCAATGAATAAGTATATTGATGTTTTCATGAAAATTCCGATAAACTGCAAAAAAATCCCAATCTGTAGAGTTTTTCAAAAAAAATCAACGTTCGGGTCATTTTCAGTTATCTTCAAGATTTCAACATTGAATTCAATTCAAAAATCGAAAGTTTTGTAAAACAAATATTTTAGAGACTAAGAAAAAGCAATTTATGAAAAAATACTTTAAACAATTCAAAAGCTGCTCCTATTAATATACACGCCGGAAACCAATAAATTACATCCGATCCAATTAACTGCATGAAACGTTTACCATATGAAAACATCTGGAAAAAAGCATTCCGCATTTTAATTACACCCGAAATAAACCAGCTGAAGAGGTTAAAAAATTTTCGATTAATCCTAGTAAAGCAATAAGTGTATCATGAATTTCTGCAACCACGATACTGATTTTTATGGCAAAACTTTTCAGACAAGCTTCTAGTTATCGAGAAAAACTAATTTCGATTTGAACAATAGGTGAGAGGAAGATGAAAAGTGGTAGAACAATTCGAAGGAAAAAGTATACAGTTAATTCTTATTATCATAAAATTAAGCTAAGGTAATTAAATAGGTATGAAAAAAACTAAACAGTTTATTTTATCTCTTCCTGAACCTTAGAAAACATGGATTTATAACTACTGATTAGTTTCGATATTTTATACGTATTCAAGAAAAGTAGCAAGAAAATCATAAGAAGTGGAATTAATTTTTATTAGATTAATAGCATTCAATGAGATAATAGTTTTAGCAAGCTTATTTCCATCAATATTTCGGATCATATTTTGGAAAAAACCTGTAAACTAAAACATATAATTGAAATATAATTCAATGCATGCGAAAAACAAAAAGTATAATTTAGCAAAATGCAATTCGAAAGTTTGTAAAATTGATCAATTTAGGATTGATTTAACTTCAAAAGCTTTTATTCCTTTTTTGTTCTCTAATGAAGTTAAATGGATAATTGCTTCTGACTTGCAACATATTGTCCTGATATATCAAACGAAGCTTAGCATCTCCTAGCACTAAAATACAGCAAATTCAATCTCCACTAATCCATCAACTAATCTCTGCCATTTAATGGGATAAACGGGAAATTACATGAACGAATTTGTAGGATTTATATTCTTTAAGAAAGTTCATGTATAGATTACGCCTATTTCGTGATCATGCTACCCTAAGTGAAAAGTTGCAGAAAGGATATAAAATTCCCATATATTTAGAAATTACATTATATTATTTTTCCTGAATAAAAATATAAATCATGGAGTAGCACTTCTCCAAATGCCATAGTGCCATCATAAACAACGACTTATATCAATTTTATACGTTCAATCAGTCACATAGCAATATTGTTAGAAAATCCAATCTTATGTCAGAAATATTTTTACAATCTTCAGTTTAGTTTGTTTCAGTGCTTGTAAAGACTATGAAGCATTTTCAATAATAGTTTCATGGAACTATGTAAAAATATTTGTTCAAATTTCAATAATTTAGAAAACAACAATTTTTAAATTGAAGCATTACCAAGATGTCAAAATAATAAGAACCAATACGCAATTGACCAAGCATCACAAGAAAATTTTGGTCCTAAAGAACTTCTCAAGAAAAAAAGCAAATCAAAAATTTTGCAAATCAAATCAGATAAAACTATTTACCATAATAAGCTGAAAATAACTGATAACTCATCGTCTAGACCTTCAACACGAAACCCTCTTTATCAGCCTCGATCAAGTCTTTCTCTAATCGTTCTCGATCTGCTTCACGCATCGGTTTCACGACTTTGTAATACATTATAACGTTTACCACAGCTACTGATGCCATATATAACGCTCCACCAATTAGTGTCACCACTGTGGCTGGAATTTACTAAAATTTCATATTACAAAAATATTTGTGAGAAAAGAAGTACATATGTAAGAAATCTGTTGTGTTTTGTGAATATTGAAAAATTGAATACTTCAAGGTTGAAATTCATTTTTCTGAATAATTATGGAATTTTAAAATATTTATTCAAAAGTTTTACAACTTTTAGTGATATTTTAAAATATTAAGTTAAATTCGAGGAGAGCTGAGCAATTTTCAAAAGTCAACTACCATTGCAGTCATTTTAGCAAAATTTTAGTCAAATCGTTGTATTTTATCCATAAAGTTTACATCTATCAGTTCTCTGAATTTATTAACTTTGAATGTAACTATATTATAAAAATACAGAAAAATGTTTTCAGTTATTAATCAAGAAATTTCTCTGGAATATATTATTTATTCTGATAATTAAATGACTGCCTTTGAATTACAATATCTTTAAAAGTTCTGGCAGAATTTATTCCTGCCATGTCTTCTCCTATAGGCCAATCATGCCTGTGATATGGACCAAAACGCTTTGTATCATATCACCGGAATGTTATTGAGTAACAACTCACTTAATGATTAATGGATAACTGAACTCTTATTAAATAACAAACTATTGGATTACTGCGAATGAAAATTGATTATCAAATAACTGGATTTTGAATCAATGGTGACAAATTGGACTGATACTGCTAATGAATAATAGAATTAACTCGCGTAACGATACAACTATTTATTTCATAGCTCCAGGACTAAGGAAAAAACTATACTTTTTCAAAATATCTGAAATTTCCTCCAAGTTTAAACTAAGCTATAAATAAATTAAAGCATACTGCTATATAGCTTGTTAAGTATATTGTCGGTAAAAACACGTTTATAAAATGGTCGTACATCGGTTCGTTTAACTGCTAATCTCATCCACGTTAACAACATATATCCCTGCAAATTTTTTTTCCTTATCATTGGAGCATTTGATAAAAAATAAATAATAAAAGCGTGAATTGCAATAAATTTAATTTAGAAAACTAAAATGGATAATTAATTACAAAGAAAAAAAAAACAAAGATAAAAACGAAAACTAAAGATATCAGTCACAAAAAAATTTCTCTCATTTTCTCATTCACCCATTTAATTTCGTAATTAAGTAAAATGAAATAAAATGGAAAATGAGAATAGAACGAATTACTAATTACATAAAACGAAATACATACAGGAAACCGATAATATTTGATTAATTCCAAAACTTTTTTGCAATTTGTACCCAAACCCAGCTTTGTAGAAGAATTTTATTTTCGCAATCTTTTTCGCTCTTTTTTTAATGTGTACTCTTTGTTTTACTATCACTCACTGATCCTATTATAAATCATCACTCATTAAATGAATTTCTCAATCTTTGGTGAACAATTCTTTCACATGTCCTTGTTATCTCTGCTCTCCCTTTCTTTTAAAGCTTATTTTTATTGCCAATCATTAACTCTGAGAAATATTTATATTATTGTAAGATGTGACGATAATCATTAATTGTTAGCCTACTAAGTTTGGACAGTGTAATAATGGCCATTATTATGTCTTAATTAAAGTCTTTTTAAAGCTCTATTTCATTCCTAATTTATTCTAGCTTCATTTTTCAATTTCAATTCATTTTAATTTAACTTTCCAATTCCGACATGAGGCGATGATGAAATTTCTAATTAGAATTTTAATTCATTTGCAACGGGAATTTATAATATAAGTATGATTCCGAAAATGTTATACACATATTATTATGAATTAGTTTGGTTTGAATATTAAAATGGAATTTAATTCGAAATTAAATTCTTATTTTGATTATGCTAAACTCTTATTTGGATTGTGGAATTACGAGATTGTGTTATATGGTTTAATTTTGAGTTTTTTTCTTATTGAAATTTAATTTGAATTCAAGTTTCATGCTCGGTGGTTAACATACATGGTGGAGAAATTTTATGAAGTATTTACTCATGTTGATGTGTTGAGAAGTCGGGAACCGGAATATTTCATATGTGAAAAGGTTGGTGTATAAGAATACATATTATGTTATTGAATAAATAGAATTAGTTAGATCCACTATGAAATAAGAGTTAATATTCAGGATTATACCTGAAATTTGCACTTCTGTTTTAGTCTACTTATTATTCCCGGCTGCAGTATGTTGTAGCATGTTTGAATATTTTAAAAGAATCGTTAGCGAAAAAATTAGGTTACAAATGGATGGGCAAAGTATAGCCGGATGAGAATGAATAGTAGGATTGATAGGATAGAAAAGAAAGGGGCAAAACTGCAATAAATAGATCGAAGGATTCAATTGGATAAAATCTTTGTGATGAGAGTAGATAATATAAAATAGGATTAGTTTGGTTTGGATGGGTACTTGACGAATATTAGGTGGAAGGAATAAATCGTTGCTGTGAAGAATCTTTAAAATCTTTTTATCCAAGGGAAAAAAAACTAAGCTTTAATTAATTAGCTATTAGTAAAAACTAGCTATTTAATTTAAATATTCGAAAAAAATTTTTTTTAATAAATATTACCAATGAAACGAAAATGTTTTCAAAATATCCATTATTCTTACCAATTTAACAACAAGGCAAATTGGCTATTGGCTAAAACAGTGAAACAATAAGCAATTTTTTTAAGATTTGTTAAATTTTGTTTCCTGTTTACATTAGCATTATATTGAAGTGGATAAGTAATGGAAGTATGTTATGGTCTATATTTGAAATCTTGATTTTTTTTATTTTAGCCAATAGTTGTGGATTTCGACAGTTTTACTAGCAACAGAAATTCCAAGAACAGCAAGGAAATTGAAAAGGTAGAAAAATTAGAAGTGATAGATACGGATCATAAGCAAATGGTGGAAATGCAATCAAGTGGAGGATCATCAACTTCGTCTATTGGAACATCAGTTTCTCCGGTGAAAACATTCGTCAGCATTCTGGAAGAGGGATGCAAAAAGTACTACGATGGAACAGCGCCTATTTTTATGCCTAGTCTTGTGGAAATCGTTAGCAATATGTTCAATTAAATAAAATTTATATTTTTGATCTGTATTCATTACTAATGACTGCAAAAAGGTTTTATTGGGAATATACAGGAACTTCAGGAAGTTGACATTCTTAATGTTAACTATATGTTGCGAAAAGATAGAGCGGATCCAGTTTTCCGTATCTTGAGGTTGTTTACAATTTCAAATTACTTAAATTCAAGTGTAGTGTTTCTTTTTAACTATGGTATAACAAATAATTTGAAATTGAACGAATTGCATATAAACTTATCATTTCAGCCCAATTCATTTGCAATACGATGTGAGTTATACGGTATCCATACCGTAGGTTATGGAAGAACGAAGAAAATTGCAAAACAGATGGCTGCAAAAGATATGCTAAAAAAAGTTTCTTTTTGATTTCATTTAAGAATTTTTGTTTTCGTAATTCTTGAGTTCTATTTTAAGAAAATTATTTGAGATATTATAGCAAGCTGTTATTATTATCAATTGACTACCTTTGGTAAGGAATGATACAGTTTGAGATGTTTCTAAGCTCTTCGTTTAGATGCTTCAATCAATCTTGATAGCATGAATGTGCTAACTATTCATATGTGGGAAGTGTTGAGTTTTGAGACTTCGTTTTTCTATAATTTCATAAGAGCGTATAAATGAATGCCTTATTAAAATACATTAAATATTATGTTGATGTCATCAGAAAGTTTGCTTCACCCATTAGTTATGTTACATATTACCACTGTTTCATGCATGTCCAAATTGATTTACTTATATCAAAAATTTTTGTCTTTCCGAGAAATTGTTTTTGTATTCTTTTCAACAAATTAAACTCGATCCATTTTCATACTTGTTGCGTTTATTTCAGATGATTGAGAAAGAATCATTTAGTGATTTTGGGCTCGGTAAAACAAAAGAGGAAGCACTGGCTAACTTGTGAGTTATATGCTTTCTTTTTCCATATCCATATTTTTGGCAGACATCTCAGTAATTGCAGCTATACAGATATAAATTACATGTAAATATCGCCTTATTTTGTGAAAATATGAAATTTGGTATTTTCACGCGCTTTATTTTATCTTCACTGCATTGGTAAAGTGTACCTTGTGTAATCTTTCAAAGATGCTGTTGAGATAAGAACTCTATGAGATTGCATAAGGGGCAGAACTGAATTCGTCAGCATGAAAAATTTCCGATTAAATACTTATGGCTTTTTCTAGGTCATAAACTGGAAACGTGTATAGCATTATAATGCAGGGAATAATTTTTTAGCATGTTTAAATTTATGGTCAGACATATAGAGTTTCAAGCTTTATCTAAGTATATGGTGGCATATGTAGATGGTAGGCAGGAATAAAAATAGTGGTTTATATGTTTCTGATTATTTTTCCACTATACATCTTGTAAACGATGCTTTGCTAATTCTTATTGTTTCTAATCAGTCATAGTTCGAAATGTACTGCACTTATTTGGAAGATGAAATATGAAATGTATTTGGAAAATGAAATATACTGATATTCGGGAATCATGTCCGAACTAATCTATTTAACTCTGGATGCAACATTAATCTTTTTCTTCCTCCTATTAAAATAATTGTGAGGATTGCAAAAATTCTTTTATTTTGCAGGGAGAGTATGACAATTGATTTTCAAAATCGAGGAAGTAATGATGAATCTGTTGTAGAGAATTGGGTAGGAAAAGTAAATGCAAGGTTTGGATCTTCTTGTTATTACAAAACTTTGCTTAATACATACAGTGCCAGTCATTTTCTGTCATATTTATCTTACAGATAATTGGTTATAAACTAAAGTTCTGATTTTTTTTATTTTCATAAAATATTTTGTTCTATTTAGATGTCAAAAGCTGAAATTATCAAATCCTACTTATGAAATTGATGAAGAAGGACCCCCAAATCAACGATATTTCATTGCTATATGTAAAATAGGGAAGGTTTATGTAAATGCACATGGAAAAACGAAAAAGGTGAATTAATAATGCGTCAAAGTCATTTTATCATTGTATTTATCCATTGATTTTCCATAGTTCTACTCTGCATTAGCTCTGCTTTGGATTATAAATTTCCCTTGTCTTTTAGTTGAAATCTCAGCTGAAGCAAATTAGCTAATTTGAAAGCATTTTTGTCGGATTTCTTGTGTATATGAAATGTATTATAGATAGCAAAGGCACTGGCAGCTCAAAAAATGTGCGCTCGATTAGAAAATTGGAAAGAACTAGCAGATGATTTTGGAAGTGCAACGCTTGCTGCTGCCTCAGGCCAAGAAGCTGCAAGCAGTAATGAATTTACAACAGGCGGAAGTATGGTACGTAGATTGAAAAAAAAATCTGAAATAATTCTTTCGCTTTTTAATTTAATTTATCCCGTTATGATAATTAAGAATGCAGCTTTTCTCAGAATACTCTCAATGCACCAGCGCAAACAGTATTGAATCCAGGATTGTTGCATAAAGTCCGTTCTGCATTTCGAGATGGCTTTGGTACAAAAGGTCTTACAGAGAAATTGACTGAATTGGTTAAATCGGGTGACGAAAATATCAGCAAAGTTTTTCCGAATCCGGAGCTGAAATTTATATTTCTTGAACGAGACTTAGATGGTATATCTCCTTTAATTTTATCATGAAAATATTCTACATTTTGTTTTGATTAACATAATAGATAATAATAGCGTGTTTGAGAAAAGAAGAATTCAAATGTTCGTAAGATTATCATTCCATAAAAATTATTTCAGGTAATTTCCAGTGTATGCTGTCAATTGATAGTCCTACTGATATGAAGAACGCCTTCTATGGATTTGGACCGACAGAACAGGATGCAAAAGATTATGCTTCGCGAAATGCACTCATACATTTGGATCTGTTTGCAGGAAATTCCGAGCCACCATTAAATTCCAGTGATTTGTCACAAACACAAGGGATGGATAGTTCCTTAACATCTGCGAAAAATTCCCCAGAAGAAGAACGTCATTCTTCATAAGAATCCAAGAAAATTCCTTCTTCATGTAAACTTGAAGGTTTCCATAGTTTGCATCAAGGAGCTAAAATAGATACGCCCAAAAAATCTGTTCTTCCAAAACTTTTCTGTTAGGAATTGACTTGGGAGCCTTGTAGATGAAATGAACTTGAAAGCAGTTTGGTTAGATTGGATGTTTATTCTACGAAAGTTTTGCAATTCGTATGATTCACTGTTATGTCATAGTTTGGTATTTGCATTGTATCCTATTTTGTATCCATTGAATAAAACGATTTTCTTTAACGGATCGATATCTCCGCTAGACTGAACATTCGGCAACCCGAATGCTCAATCCTAATTGACAATATAAAAAAACTTCACTTTCGTCACCAATCAGCAATTCACCTCAAGTATCTCTTCATACCTTATCTTCTAATAATCCTGCAGATAAAATCATTGCACATATTATGGGAGAATAAATTAACTGTTTATTAAATTCCAAATTATACTATCACATTACCCATCGTGCACGAAAATATTTCCTCATCTATGTGATAACTTCTGCCTCGTTTGCTTCATTGTTCATTTCAAGATTTGAACGTGGACGAAATTTTTTCCGCAAATATCGCGTTGTGTAATACTATATCATTGATCCCATCAAATATTGTGACAGCTCTTTTCTCATTTTTCTTTTAATGAGTTTTTATTTGGTATAGTTGGAAGTGAACTATGTTACCTTTACTTCATTATTTTTCTAATTGAATTTTCCATTAAATCCATCTACCTTACTTGGTAATATTTTTAGTGTTTCAATGATCATTTTTTTTTATCATTCCATGAAGAAATTTAAACAATATCAATCAGTGAAACATTTCATTCAATTCACTTGTTATTCCTGCCAATGGTTTCAACAACCATTTAAATTCATTATAAAAATATTAAGTACTACTACATATGCAACACATAAACTAATGTATACAACATTATAAAAGAGGAACAATTATGAAACAAAACGTCAATAAGTATCAGGAGAGTTTTTTTTCAAAAAAACTCCTGTTGATTATTTTTCATATTGACTAGATACATCTACCCGATTTGACAACACCCGATATATCCGTCTTATTGATTATTTAACTGCTTTACTTTCAATATACTTTATCAGTAATTCTTGTCTTTCTTCCTCAAATTATATATCTTCTAACTTTTTTTTCGAAACCAGCATTATTCTACTTTTACTTCCTTCCCTATTGTTCACTAATGTTATATTTCAGATGATGATTCTGTACTATTCTTTCCTATTTTTACTTCTTATTCTTTCTTCCTTCACTTTTCCTATTAGCCATCGATTCTCTATTTTTTGTTTATTGATTTTTTAACACATCTGATTTCCTATTTATCTATATTATCTCAATAATCAGAATTAAACTCACTCTGCATCGGTACATATTCTACAAAATAATAATAATAATAATATTAAAAAATTTTTGGCCAAAAATAAGATACAGAAGGCAATTCGAAGAGCGAATTACTGTTTACTTTATTACAGTAGCAATATGTATCGATGCAAAACTTTGAACATCACTACTATCATCTACTATCATCATTTGAACATCACTACTATCGGACTTTTTTTAGAACCTTAAAATTTTTGTAATGATCAAAAGATGGTGGACCATATTTAGTTTCAGCTCTTTTTAAAAATGCTACAACCATAGTTTCCACGACATGATCAAAAAAGTGATGTGCAAGGAAAGTATGAAATACTGAGTGGAATTCAAAAGCAAGACTAAAGATCAGAGTACAGGAACGAATATTATCAGTTTGACCTGCACTGAACTGCCACGTCGATTCCAGCGTTTTGAATAGTGTTTTATCGGTACATACGGACTGAAAGATATTATAATTTTCCAAAACACATCCACATGGCATGACATGAATCTTTACTCATTTAAACTTGGAAATTGCAGTTTTTATAGCGTTTAAACCGATGCGTGTCTTGTAGTGTCTAAAAAATCTTGGTATAATAGAAATAAAACTTTTCAACATCCTGGAAAAAGTATAGCAGAGTGTTTAAAAATATTACATAAGCGGCACAATATTTATATTGAACTGCTAATAGAATTAAAAGGGGTCAGATGACAAATGTATTCAGGAACACTCAGAACAATTAAAGTTATTCAATAACTTACCCGGACCATGCTTGGTTTTGTGGTTGAAATTCGAGAAGTATACGTTTCACAAACAGGTGGAAAACCAATCTGG